GGCTGGCTGTAGCGTAAATAAATAGAGTTAATTTATCTTTCAGCTGCCGAGCTGGAAATATTTAAAGTCAAATGGAGAAATGCAGGAAACAAGGTACATATAAGGATCCGATTTATAGATTCTGAAGAAATTCCCAATGAGGTAAGTGGAAAGCCTGTTCTAAGTTGAGGTGAAGATTCTGAGACCTGAAAAATTAGTTAGTAGAAACACGCAAGGCACAGGAGCATGACAGACTGGTGACAGCTCATTAAGAGTGCACAGGTCCACTGACAGGGAGGTTTTAAATAGGTTGTTTATTGTCAGTGGATCTGTGAACTTAAAGAGAAAAAAACTAAATTATTTAAAGACACAATAACATTAAAATACAAGTTCCTGACATATACCCTCCCCATAAGGAACTCCCCCAGGAAGTGGTAGGCTATGGTTTATTCTTCTTAAGTTGAGAACACTGTGACAGCAGATGGTCTGGAGATGCCCAATAAGGACAATGATTTTTTTGTCTCATTTTTATTTTTGCTTCCTCAGTGAAGGGTGATCTCACATATCTAAGTTCCATTGGTTCTGAATTAGAAGGTTCTTGAGAAGTACTAGGTGAGGTAGAGGCAGTAGATCTTCTCCATTGTAAGGAGACAGATGATGTTTTTTCAGCATTTCATTCTCTGTGACGTCTATTTGTGGGGCAATAGTAATCAAGTCCTCAGGTCCCGGATAGGTTATCTTTACTAAGTTCAGATAAACCAGTTTCTCAATGAAGCAGAATTCCACTTAGTGTTGGAGGTACATCTTCTAAACTGTTGGAGAGCTCTGATGTGAATCTCTGCAGTATTAGTTTTGTCTGTATCTTCATACAAGTTGGACATGATTGGAGAATACAGTCTTGTTCAATGAGGATTAATGCCCAATTAGCCAGATTTCCCTTTAAAAGTGAGATGATGGTATTGACCTTAATGGAGTCTGAATTGAAAGTTTTTGGTTTCAATGAAAACAAGAGTTTGCATTCAGCGATAACGGTTTTGAACATAAATCATTTACCTGCAAAGTTATCAGGTAGCATGATTGCTGGTTTGGGAGCATGTGAATTTACTTTCTCTTTTATGACATCATATTTAGTATGGAGATCCTGAAACGTTTGTGTGAGGAAGTCCAATCTTTGGTATATATTTTCCTGTGTGTGTGCAAGTGACATCAACATTTTCCAAGTAGGGAGCACTTTTAATCTGTTATATTCACTTCTGTTACCTACAGATCAAGCAGGAGAATAGCATATCAAATTGAAGGGACTCTTATTGGCAAAATTAGAAAAAATAAACAAAAAAGTATTTTTTACAAAACCTGAATTTGAACAATATAAAGCAAAAAAGAAAGCAGTCCTTGCTAAATATATATATTCACCAGAAACTACATACTGCCCTCTTAATCAAACATAGCAAATGGGAATCAGACCGCATGGCCTCTGGGACCACTCATATGCTCTCTCTAGTGTTGCTAACAAGCAACTGCAGCTTTCCATAATAATTTTCATGACAAAAACAACCAATGAAATATGTATTATTTGTTTAATATAAAACAAAAGAAAACCACACACACCACACACTTTATGAAACATTTATTGTTACCTTAAGTATCTGCATATCACCAGCATCTCAGTATGTAATGTATAATTTTACGTTTGGGTTCCAATATTGTTGAATGGGTTTGTCAGTGGCTGACTGACAGGTAACAGAGGGTTGTAGTCAATGGAGTATATTCGAAGCTTGTACTTGTCACCAGTGGGGTCCCTAAGGGATCTGTACTTGGACCCATTCTCTTTAATATTTTTATTAGTGATATTGCAGAAGGTCTCGATGGTAAGGTATGTCTTTTTGCTGATGATACTAAGATATGTAACAGGGTTGATGTTCCAGGAGGGATAAGCCAAATAGCAAATAATTTAGGTAAACTAGATAAATGGTAAGAGATGTGGCAGCTGACATTTAATGTGGCTAAGTGCAAAATAATGCATCTTGGACGTAAAAACCCAAGGGCAGAGTATAGAATATTTAATACAGTCCTAACCTCATTGTAGTCAATGGAGTATATTCGAAGCTTGGACTTGTCACCAGTGGGGTCCCTAAGGGATCTGTACTTGGACCCATTCTCTTTAATATTTTTATTAGTGATATTGCAGAAGGTCTCGATGGTAAGGTATGTCTTTTTGCTGATGATACTAAGATATGTAACAGGGTTGATGTTCCAGGAGGGATAAGCCAAATGGCAAATAATTTAGATAAACTAGATAAATGGTAAGAGCTGTGGCAGCTGACATTTAATGTGGCTAAGTGCAAAATAATGCATCTTGGACGTAAAAACCCAAGGGCAGAGTATAGAATATTTAATACAGTCCTAACCTCAACATCTGAGAAAAGGGATTTAGGGTAATTATTTCAGATGACTTAAAGGTAGGCAGACAATGTAATAGAGCAGCAGGAAAGGCTAGCAGAATGCTTGGTTGTATAGGGAGAGGTATTAGCAATAGAAAGATGGAAGTGCTCATTCCATTGTACAGAACACGGTGGGACCTCACTTGCAGTATTGTACGCAGTACTTGAGACCGTATCTCCAGAAGGATATTGATACTTTGGAGAGAGTTCAGAGAAGGGCTACTAAACTGGTTCATGGATTACAGCAGGGGTTCCCAACCCCCGGGCCGTGGACCGGCGCTGATCCACAAGAATTTATTGACGGTCTGCGAAAGCTTTCACCCGACTATACCGTCATGTGAAAGCTTTTGCAGCATGGCAATTTAAGATATTTCCTCAGTGCTATGATCATAGCACCAGGAAATGTGCCTCCCTCTTCCCTGCCGGCTCCTGGGGGAGCTCTAACCTGCAGCTCCTCCGGGTTCTTCTCTCGTGAGCTCTGAGCCTTGCCGCGGTTACCATGGCAATGCTCCGAATCTTGCAAGAGTAAAATCTAGCTGCTCCTTACCTCTCACCACTGGGACCCCCAGGGACTGCAGGAGAGGTCCCCCCTCCCAGGTAAAGAAAAGCAGGGAGGAGGGATATAAAAATAACTTAAATTAAAAAATATCTATATTTACTAATCTATCCCCCAACCCCACAGACCCACAATCATTCTCCCCTATACACACACTGCCCCCTAAAAACACACACTGCCCCATACACACACACACACTGCCCACATACACACACAGCCCCCCATACATACACGCACACACACACTGCATCACTCACACATACCATTGGGTTTTATTTCTGGCTGACGCCAGTCCACAAAATATTTCTCCTTGTGATGAACTGGACCTCGTCACGGGTTCTTGGAGGGGCATACTTGCCAGTCTCTTGCCCTGTGACTATGGCCCCTGTTATGAACTTTGTGTTAAAGACTCTGGTTGTGCCTCTTGGATTTCTAACAGGAACAATTCAAACTTTCGAAGTGGCACTTAGAACTCCTGGACTTCCAAAGTCATTCAAAGTGACATTCGACCACGTGGCAACGGCCATCTTAAGCCGCGAGTACAATGAGCGGTGTTTGGTTGTTGAGTTCATGAAACTCAAATCGGACACTCAACGGCGCAAACACCGCTAAACTTTACCTTCCATGGATGTTAGGCTATTTGAATTGGAGTCAAACGGCGTTCGGTAAAAAGAAACTCACGAACAAGAGACATACACTGACTTTATCCACGAATGGCTACGTTCGGTATACTTCCATAGAATTCTTGAACTCCTGAACTGATCTGGGTGATTTTTGGATATGTTCATCACCCCTATCAGGGCTATCAGGGGTAACAATTGTGGGGATATCATGTGTTTTTGCCGTACTTTTGGGGTTTTGTAAAATATGTGTTTTTTCTGCCTGGAGATAATTGAATTAATACAGTATCTGACTCAATTATCTCCCAGGCAGAGAGGAGGAATTGTATGTTTGTTATGGGAGTGTCGTGCATTTAATCACTGTTCTTATTGGTCTGTGTCTGTAACGGATCACCTGGCACCCCAACGCTTCCTGAGGGTTTCCAGCACTCCAGCAGACACCATAACCACCATAGACTCCTTCAGAGCAAAACAGGAACAAACTCTTACAAGAGCTTAGGAGTGATTATAGCAAGGGAATATGCAGAGCATAGCAATCCCTTGTAGCAGATTCCCCCAATAAGAGACTACACTCCAAATTGAGGGTGAAGTAGAACTGACTGTACTGGCACATACAGCCTCTTTTATTCACAATCCACAAACAAAGTACTGCCCACAGGGTTTTGAAATACAACCAATCAATCCGTACAATACACACAGACACTCCCACGCAAAATCCTCCCCTCTGCCTGTGATATGATTACTCAACACAATGGTTTATATAATTATCACAGGCAGAGAAATACACTATTATTAAAATATCACAGGGACCCCAAAACATGCAATAACCCTATAAAAAGAACCAGGGGATCTGGGTGAACCACATATCCAAAATTCACCCAGATCCGTTCAGTAGTTTGGAAGATACAGTTTAATGAAGATTCCGCAGAACATATACAGGCTATATGAAAAATAATTACTGTATAATGTGTCCCCTGTTGTATAGTTTAAAACTACTGCACGATGTCTTTGTGCACCAAATACCGGCGAGATGGCACCGTGTAGAAAAGTCCAAACAGTGTCTGTGAGTTAAAATGGCCGCCATCCATTGTTCTCACCATGTGCTTCATCCATTGTTCTCACCATGTGCCTCTGATACATGAAATGGTGGCCACCCAGTAACTCCACAGTATGTCCCCAGATGGTTCTTAAAGGGCCAGCAGCAGCACAACACAAATCCATTATGCCCAAATCATGTCTTTAAAGGGCAATACATCCCAGGGGCCATAGTCACATGGCAGAAGGCTGGCAATCAGTCTTCTCCAATGCCCAGTGGTGAGGTCAGTTTCGCCACAGTGTCTTTGTGTTGGAGTCCCCAACAAGATCCATGGGGGCGTACCCCTTGCATGGGGATTGTCATAAAAAGCCAATGTGGCACCATTAAAATTGAGTCCTGCTTTACCCTCAACATAGAGCCTTGCCTCGTGTTTGTAGGGACCTGCTATACAAGCTGTAACCACTATCTCTTGTAAGAGCTTAACAGCTATACTCTCTTGGAGGAGAGGTTCACCCACTGGAAGCTGGATCCTGGTCTTGGTTCCAGAGTGGGTGGAGGACGCAAGATCCCAACCAAGCGGCGTGGGGTCTGCAGTGCCTATGGTGTCTGATGGAGAGCTTGGAGCCCTCTGTAAGCACTAGGAGCATTGATTGACGGAGGCACCCGGTCAGGGGTGCAAGGCGGTCCGTCACACTCCTCTTTTCGCCGGTTCCCGGGTGCTAAAAGGTTGGAGAACATTGGATTACAGGATAAAACTTACCAGGAAATATTAAAGGATCCTAACATGTATAGCTTGGAGGAAAGACGAGACAGGGGGATATGATAGAAACATTTAAATACATAAAGGGAATCAACACTGTAAAGGAGGAAACTATAATTAAAAGAAGAAAAACTACCACAAGATGACATAGTCTTAAATCAGAGGGGCAAAGGTTTAAAAATAATATCAGGAAGTACTGAGAGGGTAGTGGATGCATGGAATAGCCTTCCAGCTGAAGTGGTAGTGGTTAACACAATGAGGGAGTTTAAGCATGCGTGGGATAGGCATAAGGCTATAACTAACTATTAGATAAGGCCAGGGACTAATGAAAGTATTTAGAAAATTGGGCAGACTAGATGGGCCGAATGGTTCTTATCTGCCATCACATTCTATGTTTCTTTGAAAGACAAAATGGCGCTAAAATGTACAGTCAAATGATAATTAAAGCCTTAAACAAGAACTTGGTGATAACACACACTAATCTGAGACCAAATACAAAGGCAAGAAATAGAACCCATACCAGACAAAAAGTCTGTTTAAAAAAGTCAGTCTTTATCAGAAAACAATGAACTCTTAAAGGAACACTATAGCGTTAGGAACACAAAAATGTATTCCTAACACTATAGAGCCCTAGGGCCCAGTTCCGCGTCAAATAAATGGTTAATTAACCATTTATTTGCTTACCTTAATCCAGCGCCGGACTCCCTCAGCACTGGTAACCTCTCCTCCTCCATCGACGTCAGCTCCCGAGTGGAGTCGAATGCACATGCGTGGCCAGAGGCGCACACGCATTCAAACCCGCCTATTGGAAAGCATTTCTCAATGCTTTCCTATGGGGATCTTTTTTGATGCTGGACTCCATGAGGACGTCCAGCGTCAAATAAGTGCGATTAACTCTGTGTGATCTGAGATCACTACCTCTAAGTACTGCAATGGCACTGGGACTCCTGATAGTCCAGAACCTGTTCAGCTCAGGCAGTCATGAGTGCCGTGCAAATGCATCTCGAGTGCCATACATGGTCATAGGTTGCTGACTCCTGTCCTAGAGTATGCTGAGGTATTCACAGGTAAATCCCACTCACCTTAATGACCTCCAACAGATAGCTCTGCACATTTTCAATCTGTTTAATGTTCTTCGATAGATTGATCTTACTATCTTGCATTTATAATTTAGTCCCTTGCTTCTTTGACCACTCACTCAGATAAACACTTAGTTAATTAACTCCTTTACCAGTCTGAAGCGCATGAATACAAATGTGAAGTTTATATTTACTCTAACTGCTTGTAATAATAAGGGTATGCTCTGTCACCTGCTATAAGGGTTGGGCTTTTTGGACAGGGGTCTTTAGAGTATTTCTTTTTTTGTTTTTTTTTTTAGTACACTTACACGCATGCAGTTTAGGAATGGAATGGTCTTCATTTTTGTATATATTGGGGTTTTAAGAGTTTATTGTTGCCTTAAAAAAATGCCCTTATTTTGGACCCACTTTTTGTCCGGTGTTTGTTCAATGCATAATGAAAACCTCACACTTACTAATAAGTGCATAAATAATTAAAGTGGTACACAGTGAGATTATTTGAGAGCCATAATCGATACTAAGTGTAATAGACACAATTACTGTAAATGTATGTACAAGTTCCGAATGTTAATATTTTGGCCTGGTGCTGCGGAAAACTGATTTAATTAATATATATATATGGCATTCATTAGTGCATTTCAATTATTAAAGAGAAATGATCACATAAAAGTAAACCTTCTTCTAAGAGAATCACTAATGGACCTGCAGTGGCAATATAAAAACAGCAGCTACCACAATGGGAGGCTTATTAATGTTTTCATACCTAAATATTGCTAGAACACTGCTGGAATACGCCCATTAAGCATGATTTCTTATTTTTCTCTACACTAAAGTAATTAAAGAATGTCGTTTTATTATATAATGTTACTATGTATCCTTTTTGTAGCACAATTAATTTACACTGTCATTTTCTGGGAAATTATTAGACAACCTTAAAGAGCCATTGTAATCAACAAATTCACGACATCTCAGCTCGCTTTTCAGATTATGGTGCTAGACGTGCCCCACCATTCCATGATTTCAAGTAGTCAAACTATTTTAAATTTATTAAACTATTTTACTTGGGTCTGTTGGCCCTGTTTCTCGCCCCCCACTACAGTCGAAAGAGAGCCAGAAGCTCTCTCTGTCTGAGCTAAACCTGGCAGTACAAGGCTTAGCCCAATGATAAAGGCTACCAGGAGGAGCCGAAACATTGGGGGGGTTTGTTTGTTCGATTCGTGTTTCTGCCCGATTAGGCTTGTAAATTGCGGTAAATACTTTTGTTTATTATCTGTAGCCTATATTGTGTCACTGACTGTTGTAACAGCAATGTATACTTATTTTTGATTTAATAAATCTAGATAGAGATTTCTTAAGGTTTATTGGTGTGCATTGATTTTTTACTTACCGTATATACTCGTGTATAAGTCGATCACATGTATAAGTCGAGTGCAGTTTTGTGACCAACAATTGTGAAATATGCTATGCCTCGTGGATAAGTCGAGGGTAAATCTTGGGGCTATGAAATTCTGTGATTTTTATAATTATATACACACACTCATACAAACACACACTCTGCATTATATATACACACACTCATACAAACACACACTCTGCATTATATACACACACACACACACTCATACAAACACACACTCTGCATTATATACACACACTCTGTGTATATAATGCAGAGTGTGTATATAATGCAGAGTGTGTGTTTGTGTAGTGTGTGTGAACTGGGTGGGGGGAGGGCATTTTTATTATTTGAATTTTTTTTAATTTTAATATTATTATTTTTTTATTTGAATTTTTTTTTGTCCCCCCTCCCTGCTTGTTAACTGGTCAGGGAGGGGGGCTATCTTAATCCCTGGTGGTCCAGTGGCATGGGCTGTGAAGTGGGGGGGCCGGCAGGAAGCATTTACTTACCTTTCCTGCAGCTCCTGTCACCTCCTGTTAGCTCCTTCTCCTCCGTTCCGGTCAGCTCCACTGTAAGTCTCGCGGTCTGGTTGCCGCGCGGATCGTTGCCACGGCTCTGACGGCCGCGGCTCTCTAAGTTGCCATAATACAGACAGTGACTCGAGTATAAGTCGAGTGGGGATTTTTAAGCACAAAAAATGTGCTGAAAAACTAGACTTATACTCGAGTATATACTGTAACTATTGTTTTTTTGGTATTTGGGGGAGTACCAGTATTGGATAGCACCCTAAGGTCTGTTTACTTTCTATGTTTGTATTACTGAATGTTCTCTCCATACTTATATTAGCCCAATGACCGACAACATTCTTAGCCAATGAGCTAGCCTTGCAGTGCAGGGCTTAGCTCAGGAAAACTAACCGAAGGAATGGAGCTTCTGGCTCTCTGTTGGATGTAGTAGAATCAGGGAGCAACGCCAGTGGAGTTCAGGTAAGACGTTTAAGGAACATTGTAGCATTAGAAATACATTCCCAAAGCAGAGCTTGACATTACTAGTTTGTTTTGTTCAGCCCCCCACCCCCAGTGTCCTAGTGTTAAAAAACAAAACATAAAAGAAATGAAAACATAACACAATTACTCGACTTTTCTCCAGCACGGAGTCTCCACTAGCTCTGCTGCAGCCTCCGTCTTGGCTGATGTCATCCTGGAAACATGCCTCCAGGAATGACAGACTGATCCAATGCTCCTCTATGAGAAACATTGTGGACTGAATGTGCATGCACAGTGCTTGCAGTGATGTACCTATAATTCTGTCATAGGGAATCATTGAATTCAATGATTCTCTATGGCAGACTGGCACAGCATTGTGCATGTGTGTGTGATGTCATGGTATGCAATGGTATAAGAGCCGGGAAGTAACAATCCTGGCTCTCATGTCCAAAGGGCTTGGAGGCGTGGCTTGAAGCAACACTTCCAAACTTTCTATTTATTAAAATAAAGGGTTTTGGTTAGGTGGAGGAGGAGGATTGACTGTGATTGAGAAGGACCCCATCGATAGCTTATTTTGTGCTGTTGTAGAAGGGAGGTGAGTGGTCTTAGTTCTTGGCGCCATGCCAGAGTGCTGCCGCTTAGGTCTGCATAGAATGTCAGTGACATGTCTTCGAAGGTGTAAGGTGAGTTACCCCTTAGCGCATTCAGGACAACTGCCTTGTCTTTTCCGTTTTAGAATTGGATTATCAGGTCCCTTGATGTTTTAGGTGGTGCTTTTGCTGGTTTGGGCACCCGGAATATGCCTTCTGTCCCTATTGTTTTGGAGTATTTGGGTGTTAGTAAGGCTGTCAGGTATGTTTTCAGGGATCCCCCTAACTTTCAGATTATTCTGGCGGCGGGAGTTGTCTAGTGCAGCAAAGCGGCATTCATAGGAGTAATTTTGCTTTTGCAGGTCACTGACCTCTTGTTGAAGAGTTGTGATCTGCTGTGTGCAGGAGTGTGAGGTAGTTTCCAGTGCTCCAATTTAGTCTGTCAGGCCCTGCAAGTCCTGGCGTATCGTGGCCATGTCCGCCAGTAGCTCTTTTAATATTGTAGTTGGCACTGGAGCCGAGTCTGGCTTAATTAGGGGGGTCGGCGGTGGAGGAAGCGTTTGAGCAGGTATGTAGCCTTTCTCTGTTCTATAGAAGAAATTGTCTGAGAGGTCCAAGCAGTCCCCAGTGAACTACGCCATTTTGGGCCTGTGAGCTCCATGAGCCTGCCGCCACAATGTCCAAATGTTCATGCCCATTCAGGGTGCATTGTCTCTTTCCCCATGGAACTTAAGCACGCTGGGGAATTCTTCAGAGCACAGTGAGGTTGGTCTGGATGCCGAAAATTGGGTATTTATGACCCTCGTGGTCCGGAGCTCCACACACATGCGACCATCCGCTTTGGCTGTCAGACTCCGCC